CTGCCGTCTTGAAGGCGCTCGGGCACTGCTGGTGGGGATAAAGTGCCACGGGGCTGGGGTGGCACTGCTGGGGGAAGGAAGCCACTGTTGGGATGCAGCGCCGCACAGCCCACGCAAGAATCCGTCCCGCTGGGGAAGCCGCGGGCGTCACCCTCTAGCCACGGTGCGGGGCGTGGCAGCGGAGGGCACGGGGCGGCGACAGCGGGCGGGAGGCGCGGGCGGCGGTGGGCGGCATGGCGGCTGCGGGCGGCAGGCAGCTCGCACTACTCAACACAGCGCATTGCAGCCGGTGTGGTGACGCCCTATGTTGCATGCAATGAGATTCTTGTTCCGTACAAGTCCTTCTGTTTTAGTTTTTATACACTGTAAATTCCTGTTTAAAAGGACGGTTGGTTTTAATGCACGGTATTCGTATTCACACACATAAATGCGAGAGAAAATAACAGAGACCGCTGTAATGAAACCGTTCGTACGTGGGTAGATTATGTAAATTAAACAAAAATCGAATGTTAATGAGTTCATGAATATATCACAAACTGCATTTATAAAGAGGAGGACGATGATGATGGTAAAGACGACGAAACGACGACAGCGACTTTGATGATAACAAATAATACAACAACGACGATAACGATAACACACTATAAAAAACAACAACAACAAAACAACATTATTCCCTTCACAAACCAAACCATCTAAGCTTCGTTTCTCTAAACAATAACGACCGCCAACAGGACTCGACGCGCTCGAGAGCTCGCCAACGCTTGACATTTCACCGTTCAGCGAATCCAAAACTAATTAAAACGACATTTACAACTGAAAGCGACAATCCGATCTCTCCAGCGCCAATGGCCGATGCTAATGTGCAGAGGATCACGACTCATTTCTCGTGTGGGGGGGGGAGGGAGGAGGGGGGAGGAGGGGGGGGGGGGGTTAGGTGGAGAGCAGGGTGTGAAATGGATTTTATAAAGCTCGCTTGGATACATAATATATATGTGCACTTGGCAAAATGCGTTTGCAAAATTATGATCGAGCCTTTTATGCAAAAATACAAGCACACACACACACACACACACACACACACAAGTATACACTTAACCTCTACCCTCCCCCCCTCCACACACACTTTTTCCCCTCCCCCCCTACAACACCTCCCTCCCCCGCCCCTCCCAACCCACTATCACTCCCACCCCGAGACATGAACAAAATTAACTAAACTTTGGCAGACTATGATAATATCTGGGATAAATACGAGGTTCATTTTACGGTAGAAGCGAGGAAGAGGAGGAGGAGGAGGAGGAGGGGGGGGGGAAGAAGGAGGAGGAGGAGGAGGAGGAGGAGGAGGAGGAGGAGGAGGAGAAGAAAGAGGAGGAGGGGAAGAAGAGGGAGGAGGAAGAGGAGGAGGGGGAAATAGGAGTAGGCGGAGGAGGAGGAGAAAGTCGAGAGAGAGGAGCAGAAAAGAGAGAAGATAAAGATGATGAAGAAGACGAAGAAGAAGAAGTAGTACAGGAGGAGGGAGAAGAGGAAGAAAAGGGTGAGGAGGTGGAAGTGGAAAAGAGAAAGAAGAAAAAAGGAGGAAAGACAATAAGAATAAGAATAAGAATAAGAATACGAATAAGAATAAAAAGAAAAAAACAAGACAAGCCGATACAACACAAGAAAGACCAGATAAGAAGAATAAGAATAAGAATAAAAACGAGATAATAAATAAAACAAGACAAAACCAAGACTAAGAAGAAGAACAAGATAAAAGAAAAAAAGAAAGAAAAGAAAGAAAAAAAAAATACAGAATGCAGATCCCCGAGCTAATGGAGATTCACAGGACGTTGAAGATGCTGTTATTATCTTGGGTTTCGTCTATTAATCTATTTTCGTTATTTGTTTATTTCAGGAGCAGGAGAGGGAGAAGGAAGGAGAGGGGATAGAAAGGGAGAGGAAGAAAGGGAGAGGAAGAAAGGGAGGGAGGGAGGGAGGGGGAGAGAGGGAGGGAGGGAGAGAGAGGGATGGAGAGATGGATGGAGGGAGGGATAGATGGATGGATGGAGGGAAGGAAGGAGGGAAGGAAGGAAGGAAGGAAGGAAGGAAGGAGGGAGTGAAGGAGAGAGGGAGGGAGAGGGAAAATCAATCTTAAAAATAATAATCTAAAAAAATCAAGCCAATCAACTGATCAACCCGACCAATCGAATCAAGCCACCCGAAGCCTTCCTCGCGAGATCGATGCGGGGAGCGTCACTTGACCCCGTGACCTCTTCCGGCGCGGCTCCGTTACGCGACAAGCCCGCCGTCGGCCCTTCGGTACTTTCCCTGAGCCGGCCCTTAGGGGACGGACCGGCAGCCGGGCGGCACGTGTGCGGCACTCCTCCTCCTCATCTTCCCTTTTCTTCTTATCTTCCTCTCTTCCTCTCTTCTTCCTCCTCCTTTCCCTTCCCCTCGTCTTCCTCCTCATTTACTTCCCTCCTCCTCTTCCCTTTTCTTCTTATCCTCCTCGTTTCCTCCTCTT